GGATGTACACCGGAGAGGTAAAACCCGTATAAAAGCTTGTGTTTGTGATTGCTATTTTCTGTGATAGTTGCTATCTTTCTTGCAATTTATAATCTACTTTATAAAATTTTTAAAAGAACACTATTCACCCCCATCTAGTGTTTAGTGTGTACTTCTGCAGATCCTACACTAGTAAGTAAGATATACAATGAGATATATGAAAGGATATAAAAACAAATACAAACAAGTAGTGGAAAAACAACTAATGAAAGAATGGCAGTATGAAAATAAACACAAAAGAAAATGCATAAAGCCAAACTCAAACACACGATATGATTACGGAGTTAGGTCAACCACTTGACCTACGTTTGGAAGCTGGAACTTCTCTACACACTCGGTTTCCTAGCTCACCGAAAACTTTACAAGTCACTCACAATGTACATACACAAACTACAACCTTAAGTGTTGGTCCTCACGTATCGCTTCTCTCAAGTGCTCGGATTCACACCTCTCTCTAGGCTTCACTCCCGACGCCACTTCTCTTGGTATCGACCATTTTCTCACCACACACTCCTCTCGGTGTAAATGTGTATTATAAAGTGATTCTCACAATAAAGCTCAAATACAACAATTTTTGTTCTCCAATAGGATGAGAACTCAATGAAGCTCACTCTTATTATATCACTCACCACAACCCACAATATATTGTATGAAAATACCAAAAGCTCAATAGGGATGTGTGTGATAAAAGAGAACAATAAAATTCTAACTCAAATTAATCTAGCTAAAATATGAATATGAAATTTCCCCATACACACAAAGAGCTGTAAAGATGATGATGAGGAAGAATTCCTTAATTGAAATCGAAAGCCTCCTCTTTGTGAAAAACTTCTCTTTTAAAACAAAACTTGGAACAAGGCTTAAACACCTCTTAAACTCATGCAAAACTTGATTAAACGATTTTCTTAGTTGATTCAGGTGTTTAAAGCCATGGGGTATTTATAACAACTCAATACATCAGTAAAAACTCAAAGTAAAAGACCAAAAAATCATTAGAAGACAAAGCTGAAAAATAATCGTTATAGTGTCGTGAGTCGACTCATCACTGTTCATGAGTCGACTTATGAACTAGTCGTTACAGGCTAAAAAACAAACATATGGGTCAACTCATAAAAATCATGAGTTGACTCATGAAATCAAGGGTCGACTCATCAGACGAAAACTGCTTTTCCACCACAGTTTATGGGTCGACTCATGACAGGCATGGATCGACTCAAAAACCTGCACATACACTGTGCATGTATGAAAATGAGTTTTGAAGGCCTTTTAAAAATAGCAAACAAATTCCAAAAAAATATAAAACTTTGGGGAATGCTTGTAAACATAAAAATGAACATGTTACGAAAAGAATTTTTTAAATTGCATTTCCCATTTTTGAAATTTACTCAGTTTTGCAAAAACGTATAAATACGTGTATATAAAACATCTTGATTTTTGAGTATTGAGTTAAGTAATGTTTTGAAATCTTTTCAAGTGATTCTATAGACTTAATAAAATATGTATAGAGAGATTTTGAAGTCTATAAACTGATAACGTAATATATTATCAAAAATACACAAAAACAATAACAATAATCGTGTGTATGTGTGATATTGAGCTATAAGTGCTTCACACTAAATAAAGTTCTAATCTATTGAACCAAGTTGGATATACACATGAAGCTTCATCTTGACTTGAATTAGCTTTGTTATCAATATAACTCTTTAACCTGGCATAACACAAACACTAGAAATCATATTATAAATTGTTTGTAAAATCATCAAAACAAGATAAAGAGTGTAAGCTCGTACACATGAGTCCTAACAGCCTCTAACCAGGGCTCTGATACCAATTGTTAGGAATTTTATGGAGATTAATCTACGAAATTGAACACTAAACAAATAACTACACTAATGAAAACACTACACTCAAACAAACACCAAGATTTAACGTGGTTCGATAAATCGCGCCTACGTCCACGGGACAATCCAGAGAGAAATATTTCACTATCAATCAAGAGTGTAATCCCTCAAAGTTAAACCTAAACTTAAAGATCAAATCACAAGAGAAAAATTCAGTGTTACCTCTATTATGCTAAAGAATGGGAGAAACAACAGGAATGTATAAAATAAGCTATCCCAGGAATGTCAAAGCTGTTAAATTTTTGAGTTATGATATGATATTAGATTCAATTAATCATTTTCTTGAGTTCTTATGTGTGTTAATTTCATGCTTAATCACGACTTTTAACATGTGATTAAGTGACTAGATGACTTAGATTTAACAGGGCTTAAATTTTACAGGGTAGAATCAAACTAAAATTTAGAGAACTTATCCAAAAAAATACTTGTTGATGTTTGCCTCAAATACTTAGGCTCGATCACATGCTTCAGTTTGAATAGATGACAAGTTAATTTCATTGGTTGGAATTTTAATAGGATTCAAATTCTGTTCGCTTGGAGATATATTTAGAAAGTTTAATATATTAGGAATCCCATGTACATTAGAATTCAATCATCAAAGTGGTCTTCTATATTTACTAGGCGGGCCTCAAGTAATTGGTTCGCGGGCTTCAAGTGTTGGTCTTTGGGGACTGTATAAATATGCATACAGGGGCAATCCGAGAGCTATGTTATCAATCTACAACATCAATCATATTAAATTAGAGAATAGTATTGTCCTTTTGAAGCCTTTTAGATATTTTAGCTCTCTTTTTATTCCTCTGTCTAAGAGAGATTGTATTAGGCTTTTAGAATTCATTAGAGATTGGGTGATTAGAGATTTTCATATTATATTCCTCACATTTTAGTAAAGCTATTTTCTTCCTTCGACTGTGGACGTAGGCTACAAGTCAAACCATGTTTATTCATGTGTTATTTGTGTTCTCAATTTTTTGTTGCATTTTAATATGAGTGATATTAGTCTATTCCTATAAATTTTATCATAACAAATTGGTATCAGAGCCCTCAGCTATCAATTAGACGAGAAGATGATGATAACTACTACAAAGTGGGCTATTGAGAAATTTGATAGCAACATTAATTTTAGCCTTTTGCAAATTAGGATAGTCACCATGTTGACACTGAAAGGATTGAAGAATGCTTTGTTCAGAAAGTTAAAGAAATTGGTTACCGCAACAGTGGAAGATTAGAACGAGTTGGATGATAAAGCTCTCATAGCAATTCAGTTATATTTGACAAACAAAGTCATGTATGAAGTTCTCACAGTGAAGACAACTACTTATTTATGGTGTAAGTTGGAGGATTTGTATTTGACGAAGTAGCTCACTAATTGCTTCCTCTTGGAGCAGCGTTTGTACACACTTCGGATGTCAGGAGGTGCACTCATCAAATCTTATATTGGTAAATTTAATTTTGTGATTGCAGATTTAAGTAAGGTTGATGTTAAGATTGATGATGAAGATCACACTTATTATTATTGTGTTCTTTGTTGTCTTCCTACAAGCAATTTAGGGATATCATAATTTATGATCGAGATTCTATTGGCATCAAGGACTTCAAACAGAATTTTTTGAAAAAGGAGAAGATCAAGAAAGAATTAACCACAAGTAAAAATGGTGATAAAGCTGATGGCTTGTTAGTTTGAGGATGATCCGGAAGAAAGGGGCTTTTGAGGTAACAAGTATAAGTCGAAGCATAGGAATTTGACCTGCGGATATTGCAAGTAAAAGATTCTTAGATCTAAATAGAAGTTGTTGTTATAATTGTAGACAACCATTTAATTAGTATCATAAACCAACAACACTTTTAGTATCAAATATCTAGTCCTTAATTTTTGGTTTTTTCTATTCAAGATAAGTTGTGATTTTTTCGATAATTAGTATCCAATTTTTAGTTTAAATACACTAATTTAATTTAATTTTGGTATATTATTTTTAATATTATATATTGAATTATTATATAACCTAATTATAAAAAATACCTTAATATATAAATTCTATCTTCGTGTAATGAATTATTGTAGATATTAGATATTATTTAATGAATTATGATACAGCCTAATTACTTTTAAAAATTCCAAAATTATATGTAATATGATAACTAATCAATTAATATTTATTGGGAACATACACACCTACCACCACACAGACCAACATATATATTATAAAATATATGCTACCTCCCACCAAGTTAAAATATTATTTTCTACCTACTAATTTATTTTCTTAAAAAAAACACCTCTCTATCTCAAATCAACAACACTTGTGTAGTATCAAATATCAACTCCTCAAATTTCAGTTTCATTTTATAAGATAAGCTATAATTTTGTGTTTTTATTTTCCTGATTAGTATCCAAGTTTCATCATTTATACATGTCAACTCGATGTATAATTAATCTACACGAACTTAGTCTTTTTTTTGTGCAGTTTTCTTTATGTATATCCGCTGGATTTTCAAAAATAATTTTAGTCATGCTGAGAAAATCTCCAAGGTAAGTCTTTCCAATACACTTTCAGCTACATTTTCTAGCTCTTAAACCCTTGCATGGGAGTAGATTGAAAGGCTATTTACTTTGTTTCTCTAAGTTGGTATGAGGCTTGACAAGAAAAAGTGGCTCATTGTGTAATAACGATTAAGTTTGATAAAAGATTAAGGTTCCCAGCTTAGTTTAGTTTATTTCGCCAGTATCATGGTTCGGAGGTTTTATTGGTTTCCTGCATCAATGTTTATAATTTGCTAGTTTTTGTTGTTTCTATCTTTCATTATGAATTACAATCCATGAAAAAGAGTAATAACCTTAGTACTTACATTATAAAAACCTCATCTGCCTATTTAATTTCTTCCTTTAATGTAAGAGGCCTCTTAGTTCTCTAAAGAAACGGCGACAAGGAACAGGAAAAACGAAGCGTGGCTTAGTCTGGATGCAGGCCGGTCGACCGCGGGCTTGAGGCCGGTCGATCGGAAACATGCATCACTAGTGGAAAACTAGGCATCGTTGACGGGCATTCCCGTCAACGATGCCTAAATTCCCGTCGGTAATGAATATCCTTGACGGCTTCCCGTCAAGGATACGCCGTCAGCCCATGTAGACCAACCAGAACTCATTATCCCAAATGGATTGAATCCGTCGCTAGACAAACCTAGTCTAACATTCCTGCACTCATTCGCAAACCAAGGAAAAGTTCTATCCATATGCTTCCACGCCTCTGCATCAGCCGGATGTCTGATTTTACCATCATCAGTACGTTCTTCCATGTGCCACCTCATTTTCTTAGCAGTGTCTTTATTCATATACAACCGTTTTAGCCTTGGTATTAAGGGAAAATGATGTAGGACCTTTGCTGGAATCTTCTTTTGCTTAAGCATAGACCTTGTTGTCCCATGTGTTGAATAATTTTTGCGTTGTACCCACCGCGATACTCCACAAATTGGACACTCCTGAAGATCTTTGTTATCCTTATAGTAGAGGATACAATCATTAGGGCATTCGTCGATTTTATTGTAATCAAGTTCTATAACGGAAACAATCTTCTTTGCGTTATCATAATTTTCTGGTATGCTCTCTTTTCCATTTGGAATGACTTTTCTCAGCAACACAAGCAACATATTAAAATATTTATCTGTCATTCCACTAAGAGACTTTATACGCAAAAGACGCAGCATAAATGATAACTGTGCCAGCTCCTCATGATCAGTCACGCCTCCAGCATTTCCTGACTCGTCAGCATCCTCGGCATAATCAGATTGATCTATATTAGGAACTGTTAACATATCCGCGAGCATCGTATGTGTATCATCTATTCTCGTATCATCTATTCTCCCACCGGAAGTACCGGTATCCGCCATCAGTTCCATTTCTTCAAGACATCCTTCCCCATGAAACGTCCAATATTTGTACTCCTCATGACATCCTGATATTAAGTGTTTCTGTAAATCACTTTTATCCACCAATGCCCTATTTTTACACCAACAGCAGGGACAATACACGACATCACTATTTAACTTCCGTGGGTCTGCCAAGGCGTACTGTATGAATTGATTTATTCCATCTTTATATCGACTATCCCTCCATCTATCAATACAAGGAATATCGATCCATGATTTGTCGGGAACTATCCTCATAGATCTGTATGATATTAAGCATAATTAGATAATGTGAATTTTTATTAGTAACGCATCAAATTAAAGGTTGCGTGATATTAACTTTCTTCATGACATCAAGGAAATTTTAATTATAATTATAATAATCTCGTAGGGAAAATTACCAGAATATAAATTATGTGGGAGTAAAATCTAACGCTCATATTTGAAATAAGACAATTTAACGACTGTCATAGGAAATGGACCTATCCCATTAGGAATATAGTAGTGTCTACAACTATCTTTATATACTTTAAGTGTTTTTATTTCTTAAAAATTTCGGCAGCACCTACCCGCAGTTCTCCGAGTACACTGTACGGATGTTATAATGCGTATCAATCATCGATAATAGATCGATTATAAATCGATATGCAAAACAACATACGCTTATTGTACACGGAGAACAATGCAGTACGTGTTATCGAAATTTTGAAGGAATAAAAATGCACAACGTATACAAAGATAGATGATACACCACTGTATTCCTAACCTGTACAAGAAGGGGACTCCTCCCCGGACAGATCTAATAATTATTACATGTATATCATGCTCCTAACATAAATCACGTTATTCTCTTTAGATGTAAAAGTATTTTCACATCTAACTAGAATTGCATGAGTTTATATCAGAAGAGATTCACATCCAACATTATTAGACGGGAAACTAGGGGTAACGACTTTCGATTCATAAATCATGATATATAACACAATAAAACTTGTAATTACCCACAAGAGAATAAATTAACCAAAAGAGAATAAAGACCCAGAGAGTAAATTAGCAGCTGGTCAACTGTATCATATCAAACACCAGCAAGTCATAAGAGGTTGGTTATCTGATAATTGTTCAAACTTGAGGTGGTAACTTTCTGATATTTAGACTGTTTTATTTGGTAAAATTTGATAGCTTTCTAATAATTGTTTAAACTTAGGCATGGGCGAAGGTTTCAACAACAGTCATGCCCATAAACAACCATAACGAGTCTGAGACTTCAGTGTCCAAAAAAACTAACCGCATGCATTCAAAGTTCAAAGTATCAGAAAACCCCCCTTATTTTGATCTTCATATTAGGAAAGATAATTAAACTTCTTCATATTAGGAAAGATAATTAAACTTAGGCATCCACATTAAAGCCCATCAAAATCCAATTTTGAACTAAAGAATAAAAAAAGGACAAGAAATTACCGCTTGGATCTCTCGCACTGCAATCCAAGAAACGTAGGTCCCGCTTGGATCTCCTGCACTGCAATCCAAGAAATCAAATATCAGATCAGAAACAACAACAACACCTAAAATTACAACAAAATAATTTAAAAAAATAAAAAAAAAAAAACACTGACAGAGAGGTTTCTGCGAGTTGATTATCACATGATTGTTGCCTCATCTCATGCATCTTAAGTTTAATTATCAGTTTTGCTAGAAACCTTTGCAGCAAGAGGGGCAAAATAATATCTTTAACAATACATGATTATCACATGCAAAGTATGCAATAAACCATCTGCTTCATCTCATGCATCTTAAGTACATATATACTTACTTTTAATCTCTCCAATGGAACTCATAATTATTTCCGTTTTCAGTTTTGGAATTTGTCAATTTCTTTCTTTATGGTCACAATATATTAAACATAAAGGTTAATTGCAAATAGACCCCCAGCCGTATTGTTGTTTCGAACTTAGTACCCCTGTAGTTTTATTGTTACAGATAGACCCCTGGATTATTGTTATTATTATTGACTATTTTAAAAATTTAAAACGAAACCTAAAATTACAACAAAAAATTTAAAAAAATCACTGACAGAGAGGTTTCTGCGAGTTGAGCGGGGGTGGTGCCGCGATGAGCTCCGGGGAGAGATCGGGGGTTCGGGGCCTCGGCGCACGGGCGGTGGAGTCGGAGAGGAGGAGCGGGCGGTGACGGAGATCGCGATCTAGGGCGGCCGCGAGGGGTGATGGCGAGGATAATTTGGTAACGAGAGGCTGATCGGTAAAAATTTATATCAAACATCGCTGACGGGCTTCCCGTCAGCGATGTTTATTTCCCGTCGGCAATGATCACATCGCCGACGGGTATAACGCATTTGTGACGGCATCATCGCTGATGGGAATCCCCGTCAGCGATATAAACATCGCTGACGGGAAACTCCCGTCAGCGTTGCTGCCGTCAGGGATACATGATTTCCCACTAGTGCATGTTACAGGCTGAATTTTCAGCCCTCTGGCCGGTGGACCGCGGGCTCATGCCCGGTCGACCGCGAAGCGGTTATTGGGCCAATTTGGTTTCCTGTTCGGTTTTGGATTGCTGTTTGATATAAATAGCAACATCATTTTTTAGGGTTCTGAAAGGAGAGTTTTACCAGTCTTTTGAGCACTTTGTGAGGGAGATTATTGTGTTGGAGTGTGAGATCTTTGGTTGGGTTATTTTGAGAGTTATTTGAGTGACTGTAACCCATTGTTTCTCCTCCATATAGTGAAATCTCCCCATCCTCTCCCCGTGGACGTAGGCAATTAGCGAACCACATAAATTCCTGTGTTTGGTTTGATTTGTGTCGTATTTTGGTCGATTGTGCTCGTACTTGATTTGGTTTTCTTCTCTCATCGCTCACCGACTCATTTGGATTTGCAAGCACGCTTTCGCACAGTGTGCAACAAGTGGTATCAGAGCCTGACAAGTTTTAGATCTAGGGTTTTACATTGGGTGGAGGAAGATTTATTTTGGAAGCTTGGTTCTTGGAGTTCTAGCCTTCGGTGGAGATAGCGTTGTGGAGTTTTCGTTGGAGACCTCACTTTTCTCGTGTGGTTAGGAGATCGTGTTGGAATCCTACATAGGGTTCAGTTGGGTAATTTCTCAATTTCTATCAATGTTTGAATCTTTCTTTACAATTTGGAGTGGTTTGCAATGGGAGAAGAAGTTGGTGAAAGCAGCAAGACGATGGCGAGTACAATTCAGGTTGAATTTCAAAACACTACGATTAGTGTGGTGAAGTATGTCGACAAAATTAATTTTGGTTTGTGGATGAGCGACGTACAGGATGCTTTAAATGCTCAAAATTTGGAAGAGACCATTATGGTCCATGAGAGGCCACCGAAGTATGATGAGGCGATATGGGACAAGATGAATAGGAACGCATGTGGGGTGATCAGGTCTTGTTTGGAATAAGAGCTGAAATACGATGTGATTGGGGTGACGTCTGCGATGAAGATGTTAGAGATTCTTAACAACAAGTATCTTACGAAGAGTGTTGAGAATCGGTTGTACTTGCTGTGAAGATTATTCAGATTCTAGATGTCCAGGAGCATTTTACTAGAGGCTATAGGCTGTCTAAAAAAATTACAGAAGATAGCTGATCCCCACCAAATACTAAAAATGGGAATTACAATCAGACGATTTCCACATCAATAATCCGATGACGAAGGTTACAATCAGACGACTTTCAGACCAACAGATGAAGACACAACTAAGAAACTTTCACGTAAATCGATGAGTATTACAATTCGACAACACTCACGACAACCGATGAAAGCCCTGATTCAACGGCCATCATAATCCATATCAGCAGAGTTGCAATTTGACAACTCTCATATTGCAAGGAGTCAAGACGAAGATTACAAAATGATGATCCTCGCAACGCTCAGATAAAGAAGGGACTACAAGATGATGGCCTCTTCAGATCAAAACGTAGAAGTTCAACACTGCGTCTTAGAGATGGAACGCAGTCCAATCACTGTGTTTTAGCCCAGCGCCAGATCTAACTCTGTGTCTCACATCCAAGAATGCAGAGTTAGTTATCAGAACGCCCAGAGTGGCGTTTGACTTGTTCAAACATGCTGAACGGTTCTGCAACCGTTTCCCCACGATTTGAGGGATTTCAGTCCCACTTCGGAGCGGATTAAGGAGGCGGTTACACCCCTTAATCTCTCTGTAAATAGCAACCAACTCAACTGAGTTGAGGGTTGGAATTTTGGAGATCAGATCGAAGGGATCAGTTCGAGTGGTTGAGTTGGAGCAGTTCGGAGAAGAGATCTTTTGACGATCATTCGATCTTTTGGAGCAATCTTTGGAGCCTGATACTTGGCTTGATAACCGATCATTTGGTTTAAAACTAACTCTTTTATAGAGTTATAACTCGTTCAAAGTTTCCTAACTTGTTAAGAGTTTCACACTTGCCACGAGAGTTCTCCTCTACGTCAATTAAGAGGAAGCTATTGTGCTCCAACGAGGTGAAGTGTTCGGATCGTCAAAAGGATATAAGATTCAAGCTCCCATTTCTACCATGAAGAACCCAGTTTTAAACAAAGGGTAGGGTCTCTGTCGATCCTCTTCTCTTTTGTAAATCGGGAAACTGATCGAGAGTATTTTGTAATTTCTTTTTCTAAGTAGTTAGAGAGAGATTGCATTGAGAGAATTGTACCTAATTCTTTTTCTAAGTCAGTTAGAGAGAATAAAAATAAATTCAATTCTCCAAATTTATTCTCACAAAATTTTCCCCACGAACAAAAGATGGTGACTCCGTTGGGGACTAGCTTTGTAAAACCCCAAAAATTTGTATATTTTGTGATACATAATAATAAATGTGTTATATTGTGATAAATAACATGTTTTGATGTTTAAATATGCTAGGAATTGATTTGAGATCAATTGAATATCTATGTGTGAGTATATGAGTACAAATGCACAAAACAAGCACGAAGAGAAATCTGGAAAATATATGACCAGTGAAGAGTTTATATATTTTACACACTGATATATTTAGAATTTGGAAAAACTCAAAAGACCAAAGTTGTAGGTCTCATTAATAGCTTTCCAAGAAATCCTAAATCACCTCATTCTGAGGTTGTATGAGAAAATTATGATCAAAATACCATAGAGCAACATACACAGCTTGATTTTGAGTTCTTAGTAGTCGACTACTACTCAGAGTAGTCGACTACTCTGGTCGATTTCCAAATTTCTAGTGGATTTTAGGTTAGTTCAGGGCCCAACTTTAT